TTTTAAGAATGATTGGCCCATCGATGTCGTGATTTAGAGTATGGAGATTGCAAATTCCCTATGGAATCCAACAGTGGGATGCCGCCAGCGAGTGGGACGCCACCAACCAGTGAGACGCCGCCAGCCAGTGGGACGCCGTCGTCCCAAAGTAATTTGTGGTGCGTGGCCAAGCCAAACACTGATGAAGCGAAGCTCCAGGCAGGGTTGCAATACGCGTGTGGGGAGGGAGGTGCCGATTGCGGCCCTATCCAGCCGGGTTCGACGTGTTACAATCCTAATACACTTGAGGCCCACGCTTCGTATGCTTTCAATAGCTATTTCCAAAAGAAGAATCGTGTCACTGCCGCATGCGATTTTGGAGGAGCTGCTTTCGTTAGTGATAAAGTTCCAAGTAAGTAGACCATCAAAATTTGAATCTCTCTCTTTTATTTTTAATTTATTTATTTGACTGGTGTCGTTTGGTGACGCAGCATATGGTGATTGCAAATTCCCGACAGGGCAGTGAGTTCGTATGACTAAAGAAATTGGTCTACAACAACCTTTTATTTTCATTTAAGGATATATTTGAATGTAATATATTGTTTATATGTTTTTTTTACTGAATAAATTATTTACTTATAATAATTGTTAAATATCTACTAAAACAGTTATAAACGTGGGCCTATTCCTTTATGTCCTTTTTCTCATTTGTCTGCATAAGTCAATATATGATAATTGTTTTTGTTTTACAAATGTCATTGATCTTGAAGTACAAAAACTAATAATTATAAATCTTTTTCCCTCTAATTTTGCATGCACAAACGAAAAAGGGAGGCTTCTCTATTAATTAGATGTGGTCGTTCCGTGTTGTTGAACTTTCATCATAGGTTTGGAACTAAAAGTTGTAAGAACAATTTTTGATCTAATGTAAATTTCAAATTTTATGATAATTTTCCACGTGCAAATGTAGTTTCTTTTTAAGTTTCAAGTAATTTTAAAGTTTTAATTGAAAATAAAATAAATTTGTACATTAACATCGACAAACAAAATTAGGTTTATGTTGGCACATGTTAGTTTTATCGACGAAAATAAAACGTTAGGATAACAAATATATGTCGACGTTTTTTTCTCATCAGTAAAACTAACATATATCGACAATGCAAAAAGCATTGGCATATATCAAATACACCAACGAAATTTGAAATCATTACCTATGTTAGTACTGTCAACAAACTTGGTTCGTCGACGAGGACCTATTCAGATGATTTTGCTCAAGAAAAAATTTGATCAAAAGGAAGAGCGGACGTCATTTTTTTCTTTTTTTTTGACAAAAGGTTGCATTGGAAAAAATGAAATAAAAAATAAAATGTAGCAGAACCAGAAGGACAAAGAAATCGTTCAAGTCCATACACAAAATCCTACAAAGTGGTAGTTGTTTTAGTACACAAAGAAGGTGGATTGGGATTTAGGAGGTATTTTGAGCACTGCTCCTCAATCTCTCTCAAGCCAATCTAATGCAACCTCCCCTTCTCAATAGATAAATACAAATTTTACGGACATCATACAACTTTTATTCTTTTACAAAGTATATACCATCTAAGGAGTTATTTGGTATATAACTCAAATTTATTTTTATATTTATGGAAATAAGAGAAGAAAAAAACTCCAAGAAAAACTTTGACTTGAAACAGTTAGGTCTCGTCCTTGTTCCTTATTCCATGTTTCCGTTTTTTTTTTTCTTTTTATAAATGATAATATCACTGATTGATAATTATTATCGTTTCCCACGCGTCATCGAGTCTCTACCAAAACGAAAGGGCACATGTTGAGGGAGCATATGAAGGCGGCAACAGTTCAGAATATACAGAACTGGGCGCCCTAGTCATCACATTGGTTCCAATTCATTGGAAACCTGATGACCCAACTGATTCCCCCCACTACACGCCCAATTGCCTAAATACCAAGAGGAAAAACCACCACCTGTTTGAATTTTGAATCTCCTCGACTCCAACGGTTATGTTTAAACTGATATAAATACTCCCAGATATGGAGAGAGAGGGGTATGTGATAATAATTTCTAAATAGTAACTATTTTTCTTCACCAAATTAACACTGACAAAATCTTTGGAGTGCTAACTCTTTTTTGCAGGATTTATTTTTGAGTGTTCTCGAATATCTATTGTAATTATTGAAACTTTTCAGTAAGAACAATTAATGTCGACTGGGAGATGAAAAGTTTCAGGCATCCAGTATTCGAAGTATTTCATTTGATCGAAAATGGCAGACGACAACATGTCTCAAATATAATTTACCAATAATAGGACACACACATTTGTTCGCAACCCTATACGTGGGAGAGGTCGGTCGCCCGTCATGCGAGGTGGAACCTCAAGGAAGAATGCTTCACGAGCCAACTGTTAGAGCCCAGGAGAGAGATATTGCAGAAGATGCGTCTGCCGATTCCCCGGTCTTGAGAGATCCAGTGCGGGGTAAAGCACCTGTGCCGTTAGGAGCGAGATGTGCAGGTGGTGTACGACAATAGATACCAGCTGTCGAGCGACTTAACTTGCTCAAGAGAACGACTACGATGGATCCTTGAGAGAGCCTTCGTGTGCATGTTACCTCGAAAGTGTCGGATCTGCGGCACACTTTGAACGAGCGCAGCAAGGACCAGCAAACGAACAAACAAATCCCAACACAAAATTTGGGATCCACTCCTAGTATTGGTGTACAGTTAAATGTTCTTGCACCGAGGCAAGCGACACTACAAGTGACCATATCCATTTATCAAGCTACAGTCGACGTGCCACAAGTTCGTGACATGGTGAAAGAAGTGACCAGTAAGTTACAAAGCGACTTCGAGGCTTTGTGACAAAGTTGTAACCTAGATGACGCGACCTGGGTTGAATTGGGTGAAAAAGAAGATCCTCCTTTCACAGCACCAATAATGGCGCACCCTCTACCTCCAAAAATGAAAAAACTGGCATGAAGCCATATGACGAGTTGACTGATCCTATTGATCACATAGAGTTATATGAAGGGCTTATGGAGCTGAATGCAACGAATGATGAGATGAAATGCCGGGCTTTCTCACTAACACTAAAAGGCCAAGCAAGATCTTGGTATTGATAGTTGATGTCGAATTCAATTGCCTCATGAAGGGAATTAATAAAAGTTTTTATCAACCAGTTCTCTGCGCAGCATGATAGGGATACCAATATGCTAACCATTCACCAGGAGGAGGGCAAATCGTTACGCGAGTTCGTTGGGCATTTTGTGGCAAAAAAGATAAAAGTGCCAGATTGTTCAAATGATGTGGTAAGGATTACTTTCATGTCCACCATAAATAATCCGGATATGGCTCAATCCTACGCTCTACAATCAACATGCATGTACAGTGAGGCCGTACAGCATGCCAGGAAGTATATACATGCTGAGGATGTGCTTAAAGTCAAACAACTCTTGCACCAAACCACCACTTCAACATATGCAAGAACTCGAAACCATAATCCGCAACCAAAGAAAATTTACCCGGGAAAAGATCGCGAACAAATGAGATAGGGTGTTATGACAATCGCCAACGACATGATCGAACAATAAAGGTTCATGATCAGCAACTACGAGAGTTCAACCAGTACACACCACTTAATGTACTGTTGGCAAGGATTTTGGTGAATATTGAAAATAGTGACTTATATACCATGCTAGAGAGATTTGGACAAATAAATTCAAGTCTGGACAAAAGGAACTGAAATAGGTATTGCAGGTTCCATCGGAATCATGGTCATGACCCTTCGTAGTGTTTCGACCTAAGGGATTAGGTTGAAAACCTGATCCGACGGGGTCATTTGAAGAAATATATGGGAAAATAGGACACATGTTCCTCGCATGGAAAGAGAAAGTACGACCGTACAGAAGTGGATGATAGGGATTGGTCGCCCTCAAGCCGAAAAAGAGAGAGCCCAACGAAAAAAGGCCTGCAGTTATAAACACCATCTTCAGTGGGCCTATCAGATGACAATCGGGTAACAAGAGAAAAGCACTGATTCGTGAGGCACGACACGAGGTGAATTCCTCTTACATCCAACTAGTAGTTCCCATTATCTTCACCATAGAGGATTCCGTTGGGATCCATTTACCTTATAATGATGCTCTTCTTATCTGCCCATTGATCGACAATGTACGTGTCAAAAAGGTTTTGATTAACGGAGGAGCCTCAACCAATATATAAGCAATATATTGTCTCTTTCAACCTACTCATCCTTAAGTTGAGAGAGGTCGCAATTAAAGAGATGTCCAACGCCTCTAGTCGGCTTTTCGGGTGAATTGGTGACGGTGGAAGGGTGCGCACCAAGCTTTCMATTATCATCAGTGAAGGAGAAAACGAAGTTCGAAAGGTGGTAGAGTTTGTTGTAGTTGACGGAGCTTCAGACCCCGACTACCTACGAAGTCCATGGTCAACTTTCTTCTTAACTTTGACCTAAAATTTGACTAACAAATTCTGAATGGATGCACAATAAAATGATATTCTCAACAGAACAACCATTCTTACATCTTATTTTCTATCAAGAGGGTGCAGATAAAATTTGTTTACAAACAGACCACATGCATATAGAATGTCATGCAACTCTTGAACTACTTTGGATTGCAGAAACTGATCTACTTCCTTCTTGGAACTTAGAACCTAAAAAACTAAGGTATATCTGGGGGAAAAAGAAATGAGAAACGGAAACTCAATGTGTGGTAAATTAATAAGAAAATAATCTTGTAAAATTTATTTCATAAGCAATAAATGAAATTTAAGTTCTTAAAACAAACTGAAGTAACAAATATTCTCATTTAAGTTTCATAAAACTTGAGCAACTAAATACTCAACAAGCTTTCTCATAATAAACTTGTAACAACAATTTCTTTATAGGCAAATCAAAAAGGCAATGCTCCCAAGTCCAGGATTCAAACCAGGATTTGGAATCCGGATTTGGCCCTAATTGTCCCGACATGCCCCTGCCTCCCCTGCGACCCAGTTACGCCAACCTCTCAACCTGCTATGAAACACATTTTATAACATATAAAATATTATTCTTTCAAATATAAAACAACTAAATAAAACTGAACACCACACATGTATGCGTATTCTATTCTGATATACTCGAGTATACCTGAAGAAATGGTAGAAAGAAATTATAAAACTAAGATGGATAAATAGAGGGATCCAGGCTTGGATATAGGAAAGATTTTATTCATCATAGAGCACATGATTCACCATGAAAACTCAAATGTATAAGGATTTTTGCAGACAAAGCCCATCTACGATTACTTAGTTTTACTGCGGCTTTTCTGAGAGGCCCTTGGTTTAATATCTATGTGGATAAACTCTTGTTTATTATTTTCTATTCAATGTTTTCTCTCATTCATTGGTAAAGTTTGTATTTAAATTTTATATGGATAGTACCACATCGTTTCTGGTTCAAGCTAGGATTGATTATACTTTTAATTTGATTCATTTATGTCTCATTTCCTCTTGTGACTATTCATTCTTGTAAAATATAGTTTATGTGTGTTAAATATGTCATAAAAAAACAAAAATTAATAACTAACTCTAATATAAATATTATAAAATATAGTTCACATAGTTCTATCAGCGTGAAGGTTGCAGTGCAAGACACTAAGAATCAAAGCGCAACC